ATTATTAATATTGTATTTTTTTTTTTTAATTATTTATTTCGGCCCCAAAGCACACCCCAAAGCACACCCCCGGCACAGCGCAGGGCAGCGCCGAGCGGGACGGCGAGGAGTAAGCGCTGCTTGGCGGGGAGCGCGGAAGACGAGGTGGGGAGCGGCCTCCCCGGCCCCGGCCCGTACCCGGGTTAATCGGTAACGCTGTGCAAACCCAGGTGGAAAATGCGCCGTGCTCCGGACTAGGAGGGAGGAGATGGTGCAGTGCCCCCGGCCGCTCTGAGCGCCTGGCCGAGAAGACGCTGGGGTGTGTGTGCGTGTGGTTTGGGGCTCGGGGGCTTTTTGTTACTGCTTTTGCCTTTTTTCCCCCCTTCCTTTTTCTTTTTTCCTTTTTTTTTTTTTTTTTTTTTTTGCTTTTCCCCAGAAGGAGAGGAAACCCTACCAAGATTCTCAGATGGCTTAGAAAAATTAATAATAATCTGTGAAAATATGAAGTCGACCAGTTCTTGATTTCCCCCCTTCCCTCCCTTCCAGCTCCCCAGCCCACTGCTGAGATTGAGATAAAAGGACCCGTTTCCTGGAGGACGAGAACAGACACGTTTCTGGTGGTGTAGAAGGGACCGATGGCAATGCTTCAGAGTGTAGCGGAGACGCAGGAAAGAGATTCAACCTGTTAACAAAAAAATTAAGCAGGGGGAAAATACCAACGGGAAGGAAAAGGATATATATATACACATATATATATATATACAATTTAGAAGTATTGCCCACGTGGCCACAAAGCATGGGCTGTGCTCCAAGCATCCACATCTCTGACAGCAGAGTGGTCTATCACAGTAGCAAAGAGTCTGAGGAGTGCAATTCCCCTCACCAGACCAACACAACCATGTCTCAACAGCAGCAAGGCAACCCCGTCCCAGGATTATTCATTAAATCCTCCAACACATCCACTTATAAGGTGAGGACTAATTCCTCTAAGAAAGACAAGAGGGAGAACAGCCAGAGCATGGAGGCAGAGACCCAGACCAGCAGATCCAGTGTTAAGGTAAAAAGGGTGCTAAACATAAGCACTGTTTCTCTCAGAACAGGAGCTGGCTGTAGCGGTTTAACCCAAGGAGTCTCCCTGCCGAAGGGATACCTTGCGGGGGAGCTTTTCCTGGCTTGAGCTATTACTTTCGTTTATAAACTAATCAGTCTCATGAAACGACTTTACAGATGTACCCAAGCCTCTTTCTTCATTCCACAAAATGAGTTTTCCTAATGCGGGGAAGGAGAGCGGTGTAATTGTCCTCGTCAGTCGCTAGAGCCAGGGGCGCGGGTCTCGCTTCTGAATGCGGAGGGCCCGTCCGTCCATCCATGGTGGGACTCTGCCGTGCATGGGAGCCGCGCTGCCACCGACTCCTGTGTTTTACATGTTTGTTTGTGCTGGGTCATCCAGTGTTGCTGTTTGCGCTTGTCTTGTTTGGAAGCAAAGGCAAATCGCAGTCTGAAGCGATCTGCTAGCTGGGCTGATCAATTTGCATACCTCTTCCATTCAGAAAGTTGAAAGGAGAGCGACAGCGGTTTTTGCTCTGGGTACTGATTTACATTAACAACTTGTTGACCTTGTCTGTTGCTGCAAATAGGGTATTTTTTGGAGGTTTTTTTGCATGTGTGTTAGCGTGCATACTTTTGTGTAGAGATACAACGTAAGGCTGTATGAAGTCGACAGACAGATACTGAAAAAAAATTGTAACTTGTGTTTTTTTTCTTTTAAAGTGAGAGATTTAGTGGTGCGGAGTGCTTGCTTGTCTGTTTACCTTCTATTGATGGCCTGTTTGTTTATGGGTTGTACTTTAGTTCCTAATGCTATAAGTTTTGATTATTTCATATCTTTGCTTTTTGGGGGGGGAACAATCTCTATTTCGTAAAAATAAGTAATTGCAAATATGAAAAAAAATCAAACTGTAGCAGCCCAGGGGATATTATATAACATGGCTGATCTGCTCTGGGTTACCATGATAAGAACTGAGATACACATGCCGTAAATACAAGATACAGGCTTGAGATGCAGGCAAGAACTATCTAAATGTCAAGTGTTTTGCAGACTCGCAGAAACTCTAATGATGTGTAGTTTTCTTACGATTTTTACGTGCTCATTAAGACAGCTTCTAGAGTATTGACCTGGAATAATTTTCTTCAGTACTGTGATTTTCTTCAATTGTTTTCCTCCAGATATAGTCATCTCGGTTCATAGGAGTTCAAAAAAAGTCTAGAAAATGAGAAGACACTTTGTAAGTAGTGAGTTGGAGGAGGAATTAACTATACCTAAGGCAGAACATGAAGCTGAATGGTGTTATACTAAACTAAGTTTTTGTGTTAATAACGCTGTACAGGAAACTGAACTTTACGGCCCTTTTCACACACGATAGACATGCTTATGGCATATTTAACACGGTAACTACAGTTAGGAAGCTTAAGTTGTCATCAGAATCCTGACAATTGTTTTGCTGGCTGAATTTTTAAGTGTGATTATAATTGCACATTACAAAATCTAAACAAAAAGTATTCTTAAAATTTATATTCTGTGAATTTGTCTTCTGTGTGCTTGCTTATGGGGAAAAAAACAACTCAAAAACCTGTTTCCAGAAGAATGCATGGGAAGTAGTTTTGTTAAATTTTGTTGTTTCATTTCAAGAACTTTGTAAAAATTCTTGTTACTGGGTTTGGATAATTCAGCCAGATGCTATACGATTGATGTTGGGTCATATGCATACTGTAATCTCATTGGCAGCCATTCTGATTTTTATCACTCAGTCATATTTTCTGCCCTTGTCATCACTCTAAGCACATTGCTGTGAAATGATGAGTTTTGAGAAATGAGAATGGAATTCTGTTTGTGATCAGCTGAATACAAAATCTGCTGGACACATCACATCTGCATGATTTTAATGTGCAAAATCCTATAATACTCTTTAGAGCTATAAAGCAGCATGGTATTTCATTCTCTGCTTTTATCATTAGTGTGTATAGTATGATCAGATTTACAGTTCTTAGTGTGCTAGATAACTGTGTTGTCTCGGAGACTGTGCTGGAGAGAGGGCTATGCCATTACTGGAGAGCAGTTTTCACAGTACAGTGAAGTTGTTTGGAAAGAAACAAAGTGTGAGAACATTGAAGATAAGGGACAGGAGCCTGAAATCCCTGAAGCCAAAAGGAGCGTTGGGCAGGATGTTATGCTATTTTCGAGTTAAAAGGATTTTTGATTTGAGGAAGAACTGTAAGAATTAGGGTGCTACTAGGAACTATTGCTGTTCTTCAGAGTGCGTAGTACACCCTTTATGGCCCCTGGGATACCCTCACATGAACAGAAGAAGATGCTGCAAACCTTTTGTGCTTTGGCCAGTGGTGGTGTCACCAGAATTTGTGTGAATAGCCAGTAACCTGCCTGAATGGCATTTTCACTTGGTTTCAGGGCACTTTAATTGAAATTAATTAACATTCTTTTGTTGTGTATGCACAGATTAAAGCCAAGAAGGTCCTATGTGAGAGCTAAGAAGAAAACCTGGCCCATGTGTAAATCTCATATTTTCACTTCGGCTGGCATTAGCATTAAGTTTATTAAAATATGTATAATAGGTAATGCAGTAACTTGCGTTGAATCAGTTTGTTAGCTATAGTGCACAGTTTTCAAGTCAGAAAGTGTCCTAAAAAGAAATAACCCATGCTAACTGTAAAATGGCATTATCTATATTGCTAATTAGCCCCCAGACTTATTCTGGCTTTACATTTATGTCTTATTATATCTTTCTTCTGGTCAAATAGCAGAGGGTCATTTTCTGGATGTGTGGTGTGAGCATAGTATATTTTGCGAATTGCATCAATTTACAAACTGTAGCTAAAAAAAGTTAACTTGTTCTTTCCTAATATGGAAAAACTTAAGTTTATCCATAGCAAATTTGCAGAGCAGTGCTGAAAGTCTGTGTGTGCAGAGATAAATGCCATAATACCTATTTCTGGTATATATGAGAAATGGGGGAGCCCTTTGAATACATTACATTTGGTCATGGCACTTGTATCTCCCTCCTTAATTAGTAATTTTATACGTGGCTTTAATTTGAAAATTTTTGAGCAACTTGGAATCCGAGTGCCATATCTAAAAAGGGAACCAGCCATGAAAACCCTTCCCTTAATTTTCAATGTATCAACTCCACAGCTTAAACTCTACTTTTCCCAGTGAAAGATGAGCAAGACTTAGATGCGGTAACAGTGACTGAGGTTTGATTATCCAGTGCTACGCTAATATCAAATGACACCTAGTACTGTTGCAAAGGAAAGTTTTCCTGTTTTTTTTTTTTTTTAAGCTCTAAAAATCTCAAGAAAGTGGACTCAGAATCGTCATAGTCTGTCTTTTGCATATATATTAGTTATCATTTTCTTCTTCAGACATTTGTGTTGTTGAATTTGTGGTAAAGGTACTTGGCTTTATAGAAACCTGCTTAAACACCTTTAGAATAATACCTCTGTTTAATCTATAGCATAAGTGGAGTAAATGCTGGAGTGGTGTAAGGACTTCATGGGCATTTATTTAAAATTTAATTGGGTATTCATAAGCGTATGCTGTTCCAGCATCATGTGTATGTGTCACTTTTCTATAGTGCACTAATATACACTGTAGCACATACATTGCACTTTTATTTTGCCCTGTCATCCTTTTACGTATGTGAGATTTCCTTCCTCTTCTCTTGTGTAACTCTCCCTGTCATGTATATTTAACACAGAAATATGTGCGTTTGGGTGCAAGGGGATCAGAGAGTAAATCCAAACTTCCTTTATTTTAAATTAAAAGTAGTCCTAAACCAGCAGGGCTAAATGTGAAATAGCCTTTTGATTTATCAGCTGATGTGGGACAGCCAGTTTAAATCCATGGCCCTACAGCCAGTAAGTTTTCTTCATTCAAACCCTGTGAAATTGCCTGAGAATTTTGCAGTCGCTGCAAACCAATGGTTGCATAATTCTGCATATAGGAGGCTGTATGCTATATTGTACCTGCAGTGCTGAAGTGGATCTCGTTTCAGCCTTTAACAGCACATTATTTAGTCCATTAAGCCGTCTGCTCTTTTCCTGTCTGTCTGGTAATTCCTTTCCCTTGGAACACACGAGCTCTCTCTCCCTTTGAAACTCCCACACGTACTGTCCATGCTTCCACTGAGGCCATCCACTCTCTCTTGATTCCTCCCTGTTCCCACTGAAACTGTCCTCAATCATTTCCCCGACAAACCTCCCATCACCATTTCCCTCCCACTTCCACTGACGTCAGCCCTCCTGTACAGAGGTCCTTGCTCCCACTGAGAGGATCCTTCCCACGCTGAGATACACTAACTTTTCTCAATCTTTACGGCTCCAGACTTTCAGGCTGATGCTTTTTATGCTGTTGTTGCAAGGCATCAACCCTTTTCTCCAGAGGGTGGGAGTCTAATTTTTAAATGGTATGAAGTGACCTGGTGTAGTAACCTGTGAACTAGGTTCATATTTAAGTCTATTTTTTATCTTTACCTTTTAATTTCCTGTTGTTTGTAATGTAAACTGGAAAAAAACAAACTGTTAATCACTCACAGTATATAGATCACTACACTACTAAGCATAACTTGTGTTTTCAATTTTTAAAGCATTATTATTGGTACCTCTCCTGGTCACGCAAACCAACTCATGCAAAATGTGTCACTGCGTCTGAGGGCAATTTCTTGTGTGACTGAGATAAGTGAAGTTAGGCCCTGAATTTTTGGAGTACTTACTGTTGGTAAACACTTCACCAAAACTCCTTTCAGCTGTAAATTCATCTGCCAGACATGAAACACTGACTTCTCTCTGCCCTTTGTGTTGTTCTTCGCTGCCCCTGGTCTGAGCTTGCTTTCTTTCTCTTCCCTGGCCATTTTAGGTAGTTAATTTCTAAGCTTTTCCTTTTCTGCCACCTGAATGTGTCAATAGAGGAAGTATTAAAAACAAGCCTTTATTTCTACAGTTCTAGGTATTTATCTTACTGTGTTGTACCCTTTGTATTCTTAA